CTACTACTACTACTACTACGACTACTACTACTACTACTACTACTACTACTACTACTACTACTACTACTACTACTACTACTACTACTACTACTACTACTACTACTACTACTACTACTACTACTACTACTACTACTACCCCGATGGCTGGTGCTATTGCTTTCCACCACACAAGCGCCTACTCATAGTATCGTTGCCACTAATGCCTGTGCTACGACTAGTCGTTCTATTCGTAGTATTGTTTACTACTACTACTACTACTACTACTACTACTACTACTACTACTACTACTACTACTACTACTGCTACTGCTACTACTACTACTACTACTACTACTACTACTACTACTACTACTAGAACTACCACGATTTCTTCTACGACCACGACGACTACTACGACTACTATTCATATTACGACGACTACTACGACTACATTAATATTAGTATTGTTACTACTACTACGACGACTACTACTACTACTACTACTACCACTACTACCACTACTACTACTACTACTACTACTACTACTACTACTACTACTACTACTACTACTACTACTACTACTACTACTACTACTACTACTACTACTACTACTACTACTACTACTACTACTACTACTACTACTACTACTACTACTACTACTACTACTACTACTACTACTACTACTACTACTACTACTACTACTACTACTACTACTACTACTACTACTACTACTACTTACTACTACACACCACCACTATTTTCACCACTATCGCAACTACACATCGCATCATTGTTACTATTGCTGCTGTGTGTTGCTAGTACAACAACAACTACTACTACTACTACTACTACTACTACGACTACTACTGCTACTGCTACTGCTACTGCTACTGCTACTACTACTACTACTACTACTACTACTACTACTACTACTACTACTACTACTACTACTACTACTACTACGACTACTACTACTACTACTACTACTACTACTACTACTACTACTACTACGACTACTACGACTACTACGACTACTACGACTACTACTACTACTACTACTACTACTACTACTACTACTACTACTACTACTACTACTACTACTGCTACTGCTACTGCTACTGCTATTGCTACTACTACTTCTCCAACTCTTACTACGACTACTAGTCCTACTACTATTTCTACTACTACGGTTATTACTACTAGTATTACTACAACGACTACTACTACCACTATCACTGCTGCTACAAGCCTCGTCAACCATAAACAGTAGATGCCTGAATTCGGTGATGGTGGGATCAGCGCTACTCCAATGCTGACGGATGCCTGTTGACTCGGACGCGGTGTTGTCAAAACACCGACCCAACCCTCTCAACATTGAAGAACGCGCTTTCTCGCACGTGCCCAGAAGCATCGTGCTCCAGGATTTCAACTTCCATTTCTTGATATGTTTGACGACGCTTGGATTACTACCACACATACGGCTACTAATAGTATCGTTGTCACTCGTGCTGCTGCAGCTAGGGCTGCTACTAGCACACGTAGAAATAGTACGACTAGTACTAGTACGATTACGATTACGACTACAATTTTCATTTGGAAAATGGCCATTTTGGGATCTCGGGTGCACCCCCCTCCCATCCCCGACAGAGCTGTTTTGCGTTGGGAGAAGCTTCCAGATGGATTCTCTCCCTGGAACGGTTCCGGGGTGAAAATCCAGTTGGGACCTCCCGACGCTGCGCGGGAGAGCCCAGCCGCGAAAAACAAGCCCCCCAATAAGAGATCTCATTTGGAAAATTGCCATTTTTGGAGCTCGGGTACCCCCACCCCCCCATCCCCGACAGAGCCGTTTTGCGTTGGGAGAGGGTCCCAGATGGATTTTCACCCTGGAACCGTTCCGGGGTGAAAATCCATCTGGGACCTCCCGACGCTGCGCGGGAGAGCCCAGCCGCGAAAAACAAGCTCCCCAAAAAGAGATCTCATTTGGAACATGGCAATTTTGGGAGCTCGGGTACACCCCCCCATCCCCGACAGAGCCATTTTGCGTGCGAGATCGGGTACACCCCCCATCCCCGACAGAGCCGTTTTGCGTTGGGAGAGGGTTCCAGATGGATTTTCACCCTGGAACGGTTCTGGGGACCCATCTGGACCCATGTTGAGCTCCTCCCAGAAGGCTTCTCTCAGCTCCTTACTGGGCTCCTTACAGATGCCCTTACTGGGCTCCTTACAGAAGCCCTTATTGGGCTCCTTGCAGAAACCCTTATTGGGCTCCTTACAGAAGCCCTTATTGAGCTCCTTACAGAAGCACTTATTGAGCTCCTTACAGAAGCCCTTACTGGGCTCCTTACAGAAGCCCTCACTGGGCTCCTTACAGAAGCCCTCACTGGGCTCCTTGCAGAAGCCCTCACTGGGCTCCTTACAGAAGCGCCGATTGGGCTCATTACAGAAGCCCCCAAGAGAGCCGTTTTGCGTTGGGAGAGGGTTCCAGATTGATTTTCACCCTGGAACGGTTCCGGGGTGAAAATCCATCTGGGACCCCCCGACGCTGCGCGGGAGAGCCCAGCCGCGAAAAAGAAGCTCCCCAATAACAGATTTCATTTGGAAAATGACCACTTTGGGAGCTCGGGCACACACCCCCCCATCCCCGACAGAGCCGTTTTGCGTTGGGAGAGGGTTCCAGATGGATTTTCACCTTGGGACGGTTCCAGGGTGAAAATCCATCTGGGGCCTCCCGACGCTGCGCGGGAGGGCCCAGCCGCGAAAAACAAGCTCCCCAATAAGAGATTTCATGTGGAAAATTGCCATTTTTGGAGCTCGGGTACACCCCCACCCCCACCCCCGACAGAGCCGTTTTGCGTCGGGAGAGGGTTCCAGATGGATTTTCACCCTGGAACGGTTCCGGGGTGAAAATCCACCTGGGACCTCCCGACGCTGCGCGGGAGGGCCCAGCCGCGAAAAACAAGCTCCCCAATAAGAGATTTCATGTGGAAAATGGCCATTTTGGGAGCTCGTGTGCACTTCCCCCCATCCCCGAGATGCGCCCGCAAGGCTCCCGAGAGCGCCCAGATGGAAAATCACCCGTTTCAGGTTCCAATTTTCACCCCGGAACCGTTCCACGGTGATTCTGGAACCTGAAACGGGTCGATGCCCATGGGGGGGATGGCAGCTTCGAAGCTCAAGTTCTGCGCGCGCGTGGAAGGGCGGTGGGGGTCCGGGGGTGGGGACGCTCCGTCGGAAGGTGAGTCGCCTCCCCCCGATGATTAGGCCATCCCGGGGGGATGGCAGTTTCGAAGTTCAATTTCTGCACGCGCGTGGAGGGGCGGTGGGGGTCGGGGGTGGGGACGCTCCGTCGGAAGCCTCCCCCCGATGATTATGCCATCCCGAGTGTTGTGCTTCCCGAACTGAGACGTTCGTTCCCGCAGCTCCCCGCGACCCGCGAGGGTGAGGGACCCGCGAGGGTGACCCGCGAGGGTGACCCGCCCTGTGGGTCCTTTTCTGGTCGCGACCCGCGAGGGTGAGGGACATTTGTGGTCGCTCCCCTTGCAGGTCCCATCAGGAGCGGAGCCCATACTTGGCCGCCCGAGCAGGCGGAGACACGCGGCGGCGTTCTTGCCTCGATTTGGCCTCCTGGGCTCCACGAGCCTAGTCGGAGGCACGGATTTTCGGAACGGTGGGTTCGACGGCCCTGTATATTTGTTCGTCGGGACCGACCTCCGGCCGATGCTGGGCACTTCTTCGTCCGCTCGGTTGCAGGGTGCTCGCTTCAGTGTACAACAGACGAGCAGAGACACATCGGGGCCATAAGCGCATTCATTGTTGCACTCCTCCCGATCCCCCCTCCTCCTACAGTCAAGGCGCTGATATGGTGACCACTCTGGGCTCCGGGGGGAGCGCGGGTGTTCGGGCCGTTCCTCAGGAGGCGCAGGTCGGGGAGTCCAGTCGCGGCCGATGCTCTCCGTGGCCAGGGAAGACCCTTCGTTCCTGATGTGGCTATCCTCAGGGTAATGCCATGACTGTTCTCCTCCTCCTCCTCCTCCCCCTCCTCCTCCTTGTCCTCCTCCTTCTCCTCCTCCTCTTCCTCATCCGCCTCCTCCTCCTCCTCTTACCACATCCCCTCTCCCCTGACTTCCGAAGGCTCCATGTTCTCCGAGCCGCTCGCCCGTGCATCTTCTTGATCCCAGTGGGGGGACGCATCGACCCCCAAGCGCCCACTCATCGCCGACAGGGACCCGATGGCCCACCCCGCCCACTCAGGTGCATTGTCGCTGTCGGGGGCCGATCGCCCGTCCATCGGCGATGTATCGCGAACTCATGCTCGACGTTTGCCGGGGGTCCCAAAACGATGTGGTGACGGACCGCTCTGCGACCTCGAAGTCCCAAGAGACCTCACCGCGCGGTCCGTCACCGCACGGTCTTGGGACCTCGGAGGCCCTGGTCGCCAGAGACATTATCGGAGAACAGCTCGAGTCCCAAAACAGTGCGGTGACCCCGGATCCCCATTGACACTGCGCGGTGTGGTCACCCGTACCGTTTGTTGGGAGAGTGTTTTCCTGGGCAGTGGCGGAAAATGCCCACAGGCACCGAAGCCGTGACAAGTATTTGTGTTCCTTTTGTCCACTAGGGGGCAGGACTTGTCCGCTGGAGGCGGGTCAAGCAGCAGACGGCGAGTCACATCAAGCACGGAAAATGCCCACAGGAACCGAAACCGTGACAAGTGGTTGTGCTCCTGTTGTCCACAAGGTGGGCGGGATTTGTCCGGCGGAGGCGGGTCAAGCAGCAGACGGCGAGTCACGCATTTCGTTCGCTCGCATGGGAAAAGCACCGCTTGGGGGGGCCCCCGAGTTTTCCCCCCTCGAGCTGGCCGCCCCCTCCTCCTCCTCCTCCTCCTCCTCCTCCTCCTCCTCCTCCTCCTCCTCCTCCTCCTCCTCCTCCTCCTCCTCCTCCTCCTCCTCCTCCTCCTCCTCCTCCTCCTCCTCCTCCTCCTCGTGCCTGCGGTGGAGGACCTCCCCCCCCTCCGTCGCTCGCAGCCGGCTCGAGAGCGCGGCACACGGGCCACGCGCGGCGTGGCGGAGACGGCGCCCAGCCCGCCATCCGGCGCCTCCCCCCCCCCCAGAGAGGGATGCCCAGCGCCCTGAAGGCGGCCGGGGCAGAGCGGCGGGCGAAGATCGGCGGCGGGCGAGGGGGGGGGAAGTGAGAATCGGCACGAACGAAATGGGTACGGAAAGAATGGGTACAATGCCCAACAGCGGGTCCTCTTCATTTTGAACAGGATTCGCTGTCGGTGTCGCCACGGCCCGTGTACATTTGAGACAGACGGCCGCCTGCCCAACAGCGGCCGCTGTTGGTTTGGGACAACATTTGTGGTTAAGCATTGTGCCCACTTTTTCCGTACCAATTTCGGGCGTCCAAGGAGAAGGAGAAGGCCTTCTCAGAAGGCGGCAGGACTTCTCAGAAGCCCTCACGCATTCTGAGAAGCGTTCTGCGTCTTCAGGGGAGGTTTCGAAAATTTCTCAGAAGGCCGGGGGACTTCCGAGCCTTCTGAGAAGGCCTTCTCCTTCTCACTTCCCCCCTCCCGTTCGCCGTCGAGAAGAGGGACCCCCAGCGGGCTGAAGTCCGCCAGTCGCTGGGGCATGTCGTGAAGGGGGGGGGAGGACGATTGGGTGGATCGACGGCTGCAGGAAGGGCGCCCTGAAGGGGGCCCCGAAGGCGCACACAAGCAGCACATTTCTTCACCTCCCCCCCCGCGCCTGTTGCCCCCTTCATCAAGGAACGCCCAAGCCGAGGGGCTGTTGTTCTCAAGCACTGCGACACGTCTTCGGATCCTGGGGCCGTCAGAAGTGGATCTGGGGCGAGATTGCCACCAGGGAAGGGCTCCAGGCTTCCCAGGCCCGCGGGTGGAACATGCACATTGTCGGACGCTTGAGGAGGAGGAGGACGACGAGGAGGAGGCGGAGGACGCCAGGGTCAAAGAGCCATGAAGGAAGCGGGTCTTCAAGGAAAGGGGTATTGGAGGTTTTGCACCGCTTGGGGATTCCAGGGGCCTTCTCTAGGGCTCAGGACCGTGCAAGCACGACTTGGGATGGACAAGAATGATCTCAGGGAAAGCCCGAGGGACCAGGAGCTGTTTCCCTCAGGCCGACAAGGCACAGGCAGATCCAACCGCGGCGACGAGAACCCTCCCAGGAGGGCAAATAAAAGCGGAAAGCACCAACAAGTTTGGATCTTCGATCGTCGAACATCCTCCCTCACTCACCCGTCCGGCCATTCCGCCCACCCCGCGTGCTCGTTGGGGCAGCCGCAGGCAGACGACCCGGTGCTTGGTGCCGCCCTTCGCTTCGGGAGGCGGTGAAGCAAGAGTGGCCCGCTCTATTCGTCTCCCATGCCTCTTGGGTACAAGCGCGGCCGCCGCCGCCATGCCCAGACCTCCGACGTCGCGCTCTGTTCACAGCGTGGACGCTCGGAGGTCGAGGCCGCTCGTCCCAAGGGCGCCCTCGAGGGCGCGAAGTGATTCGCGCTTCGCGGTTCGCAGGGGGCGGCGCGATTGCTCGAAGTTAGCCGCCCTTGTCTTCCCAGGACTGTTTTCGTTCCATCCCGAGCCGGTGTTTGACGGCCCCAGGGGCAAGGGCGCCCCCCCTGGAGGCCGAAGACTGTCAAAAACGATCCGCCGCGTGGCTGCCCTGGCACGCCCGCGTGAAAACGCAGCACGTGCCGTGTTCAAAACGTCCTTGTTGCGCCCCTGCGTGTTGGCTCGGCACGTGTTGGTCCGCGCTGTCGCGAGCGTATCGCGCCAGACCTACAGTCAACCCGCATAGCAAGGATGAGCAACCTTCCCAAGGGTACCCTTGCATCCTTGCCTCCTCGGTCCATCCTTGGCCACTTTCGTTGGCCGCGCCCCGCTCGAAAAGCTTCGACGTGGCCTTCCAGGGCCCTCGCATCCTTACCGCGCATCCTCATTATACGGGCCGACTGTACGTGCTGAGCTTCGTGTCAACACGCTGCGTGTTGCGTGCTACGTGTCGCCGTGATTTTGGCGGCGCGCGGATGTTCGGAGGCCTGCTCCGAGCAGCCGAGCCCCATCCACAACTCATCCGCACTTGCCACAAGAGCGTGGAGGACGAGGAGGAGGAGGAGGCAGGGAGGAGGAGGAGGACGAGGAGAAGGACGAGGAGGAGGAGGGACAGGGAGGAGGAGGAGGAGGAGGAGGAGGAGGAGGAGGAGGGAGGAGGAGGAGGGAGGAGGAGGAGGAGGAGGAGGACGAGGAGGAGGAGGAGGACGAGGAGGAGGAGGGCGAGAAGGAGGAGGACAGGGACAGGGAGGAGGAGGACGAGGAGGAGGAGGAGGAGGGCCAGGGTGAACCCGAGTCCCCTCCCGTTCATAGTCCCCTATCCTGTTCCTAGTCCCCTCTTTACAAGTTCCAGGTCCACTCTTCACAAATTCCAAGTCCCGTTCCAGGTCCCCTCTTCAAAAGTTCCTACGCGCCTTCCTTCTCTGGCTTCAAGAAGCGCCCGCTTGAAACCGCGTGGGCCTGCCATTCAGGCGAGATCGCCGTTCTGAAACGGAACGGCTCTGCATTCTTTCAGCGAGCGATAAGGAGTGCGAGAAGGTGTGATCATACATGTTAGCGGGGTGTTCAGCGAGGTCTCCGTCTTGAAAAAAAAGACCGTCCCACCCGTAGAATTTTCGCACATGCTTGCGCTTCTGGCCATGATCCCCGAGGGAGTTTCAAGCCTGAGCCCCATGTTGAAGAGGAGCCGCCCTCTTTGCGTGCAGTTGCTGCACATGCTCAAGCTTCGGGCTCTTAAGCGCAAAGTTGTCCCAAGCGAAACCGCATGTTGAAGACCACCCACCCTCAATCCTTGAAGCTGTTGCAAACTTGTCAGGCGAATGTGCGAGGCGCTGAAACAAAAGCCCCATGTTGAAAAGGACCCGCCCTCCATTCTTGAAGCCGCTGCAACTGTTTATGTCGAGCGTGCGCGGTGCTAAGGCGAGAGCCCCAGTTCGAAAACGGCCTGCCCCCCATCCTTGTAACTGCTGCGAACCCCAAGCGTCAAGACCACAAATGGTGAGGATATCTTAGACGAAACGCCTGGCCCGCCCTAACGACGACGTCTCGGTGTGCGACAGGGGGGAGCTGCTAAGAAGGAAGAAGAAAGAAGGAGAGAGTGGACGACGAGGAGGATGAGGAGGCTCAGTATAAGCCCAATACTCATCAACGATATTGCAGTACATCATCCCTCCATGTTCCCTCTTCATCGGGCCCTAAGAGGGTCCATGCTCACAACGGGAATTTCACCGTTGGAAGACAACCGTTTGAAAGTCCAGATCTGTGCTAGAATACCTTTCCTGGGATTTGAACGCCGCGAATCACCGTTACCGTTGCGCCTTGACGACCATTAATCATGCCAGAATACCGTTCTTGGGACTTCAACACCGCGAATCAACGTGACTGTTGCGCCCAGACATTCCGACACCATGCCAAAACATCATGCTTGGGACGTTAGCCATGAGAATCCTTGAAATTGCTGCAAATTCTTGAGACGAAACTGTTGAGAGGGAGCCGCTCTCCATTCGCGAACCTTCTGCGAAAGTTTAAGGCGAATGTGCGCGGCGCTAAGGCGAGAGCCACAGTTTGAAACCGGACCACCCTCCATCCGCGAAGCTCGTGCACCTGTTTGAACACGAGTGTGCGCGGCGCTGACGCGAGAGCCACAGTTTGAAAGCGGACCGCCGTCCATCCGCGAACCTTTTCGCAAAAGTTGACGACGAGTGTGCGCGGTGTGACTGCGAGAGCCACACTGTTGAGAACAGCCCGCCATCCATCCGCGAGCCCCTTGCAAAAGGCTAAGACGAAGCCGCGCGGCGCTCAAGCGAGAGTCACAGTTTGAAAACCACCCGCCTTCCATCCGTGGAGCTCTTGCAAAGGTGTAAGCTTCAGCATTTTAGATTGTGAGGACCTGTCAGGCGAAACGCCTGGCCCGCCCTTTCGACCGGCCTCGGGGCGCGACACGGGGGATGCATTTAGAAGGAAGGGGGATGTAGGAGGGGAAGGAGGAGGAGGAGAAGGAGGAGGAGGAGGAGGAGAAAGTTCCTGGGGCCTCTCTGGCCCTCGCGAATCCTTCTGGGGGGTCCCGGGCCCTCCTGGGCCCAACGCCATGTCAGATACCCGCTTCTGGGTGGCATGGACATGTAAGAACGCGTGGTCCCAGCTCATGCTAGACAACCCCCTGGGCGGCCTGGACGCGTGAAGACACGTGTTTCCAGCTCGGGGCAGCCACGTTAGATACCCCACTGTTGCTTGGACTCGTCGCAGCATGTGGCCCCTGCTCGGGACAACGACGCGGAATACCCCCCCAGGGTAGCTTCAACACGTAATTAAGAACACGTGGTTCCAACTCGGGACAACCATGTTCGATACCCCTTTGGGCGGCCTGGATACATAAAAGCAAGTAGCAAATACACCGGGCGCCAGACTCACGTTGGATATCCCCTCCACGCACATATTTTCACGTGCGGGAAGCCGACGACCTCATGTTGGATATCCCCTTGGGCGCACTTTCTTCGAGCGGGCACGCACGGAACGCATTTCTTCTACCAAAATTGGCACGCACCATGTGTTTTACCTATCGGAATTTCGAACACCAGCGCTTGTTTGGACATCCTCAACAAAATCCGCCGGCCTCCTTCGACTTTGTTACGCATCAATGAAGGAATATGCCGGCCTCCTTCAATAGAGGCATTGGAGACAGGTTTACCAACTGCAAGACAAGCCCTGGACCCAAGCTCTTTCTGGGAAAAACGTCGAAAGCCGACGACGACGACGACCACGACGACGACGACGACGACGACGACGACGACGACGACGACGACGACGACGACGACGACGACGACGACGACGACGACGACGACGACGACGACGACGACGACGACGGCGGCGGCGGCGGCGGCGGCGGCGGCGGCGGCGGCGGCGGCGGCGGCGGCCCGGAGCGCGGCCCCCTCGCCCCGGGGGGCTGGCGTGGAGGCCCGCAGCGGCCGGCCCTCGGTGGCCGAGATGCGGGCGGACCTGTCGAGATTGCGAAAGCCAGAGGCTAAGGTCCTCGAGGCGTGCCCCCTGGGGGGGGGGGGGGGAGGGGAGCCTCGACCCTCGATGCTGCTCCTTCCTCCTCGGCCCTCGAGCCTACACGATCCTCGATTCTCGATCCCTCCCCCCTCCTCGACGCCTCGATCATTCCCCCCTTCGATCCTCGGCCCTCGATCCTCCCCCCCCCCCTCGATCCTCGACCGTCGACCGTCCACCGTTGATGTCCTCCTCACCCTCCCCTCGATCCTCGATCCTCCTCCTCCTCCTCCTCCTCCTCCTCCTCCTCCTCCTCCTCCTCCTCCTCCTCCTCCTCCTCCTCCTCCTCCTCTCAGTCCCCTCCGATCCCCTCCGATCTGGGTGTGTATATATATATATATGTAAATGCATATAGACATTGTACCGATATATACACATATGCTGACATATGCATGCAAATCTATGCACATACGTACGTATATACATAACATGATGGACCCACGAACCCGGAAAGGGATATAGACATGTGGAGCATGGACACGTTTTCATGATACCCAACTGGGCAACACCTCACGAAACATCCCACGAGACACCTCACGAAACAGCCCACGAGACACCTCACGAAACATTCCACGAGACACCTCACGAAACATTTCACGAGACACCCCGCGAAACATTCCACGAGACACCCCACGAAACATTCCACGACGACAGGCAACCACTCAACCAAGGCGGTGTGGTCGTGCTGGGGAGTGGTCGTGCTGGGGTGTGGTCGTGCTGGGGGGTGGTCGTGCTGGGGGGTGGTCGTGCTGGGGGGGTGGTCGTGCTGGGGGGTGGTCGTGCTGGGGCGTGGTCGTGCTGGGGCGTGGTCGTGCTGGGGCGTGGTCGTGCTGGGGCGTGGTCGTGCTGGGGCGTGGTCGTGCTGGGGTGTGGTCGTGCTGTGGTAAGGTCGTGCTGGGGTGCGGTCGTGCTGGGGTGTGGTCTTGCTGGGGTGGGGTCGTGCTGGGGTGATCGTGCTGGGGTGGGGTCGTGCTGGGGTGTGGTCGTGCTGGGGTGTGGTCGTGCTGGGGTGTGGTCGTGCTGGGTGGGGTCGTGCTGGGGTGGGGTCGTGCTGGGGTGTGGTCGTGCTGGGGTGTGGTCGTGCTGGGGTGTGGTCGTCGCTGGGGTGGGTCGTGCTGGGGTGGTCGTGCTGGGGTGTGGTCGTGCTGGGGAGTGGTCGTGCTGGGGTGTGGTCGTGCTGGGGTGTGGTCGTGCTGGGGTGTGGTCGTGCTGGGGTGTGGTCGTGCTGGGGCGTGGTCGTGCTGGGGCGTGGTCGTGGGGTGTGGTCGTGCTGGGGTGGTCGTGCTGGGGGTGGTGGTGCTGCTGGGGGTGGTCGTGCTGGGGCGTGCTGTGGGGCGTGGTCGTGCTGGGGCGTGGTCGTGCTGGGGTGTGGTCGTGCTGTGGTGAGGTCGTGCTGGGGTGTGGTCGTGCTGGGGTGTGGTCTTGCTGGGGTAGGGTCGTGCTGGGGTCGGGTCGTGCTGGGGTGTGGTCGTGCTGGGGTATGGTCGTGCTGGGGTGGGGTCGTGCTGGGGTGGGGTCGTGCTGGGGTCTGGTCGTGCTGGGGTGTGGTCGTGCTGGGGTATGGTCGTGCTAGGGTGGGGTCGTGCATTTCGCTCGAGACATCCTGCCAAAATTCCAGGAAATCGTACAAAAACAAAGGAATTAGTCGAGACATCATCGAAATTCCTTCGCGCGGGGCGCTTTTCCGCGTCGCGGTCGGCTCTGCAAAACAAGCGTTTCGCTCGAGACATCCTCGGCAAACTCTGCGGAGCAAGCGTTTCGCTCGAGACATCCTCAACACACGAAAAAGTGGCCCGCACCCTGTGATTTATCGATCGGGATTTCAAAAACAAGCGTTTCGCTCGAGACATCCTCAAATTTTAATCTGCCGGCCTCCTTCGACCTCGATATTTATCAGGGAAAAAATCCGCCGGCCTCCTTCAAGTTGGCACCGGGGGACATGTTTACATAGTAAAAGAGAACCCTGGGCCTGAGCCCTTTCCGGGAAAAACGTATAGATAACAGTTGAACAGGTGAATAGATACATGCATGAATGGGAAAATAAATAAGTAGGTGAATACACCTACATAGCTTAATGACGATATATATATATATATGTGTGTGTATAGATGTGTGTGTGTGTGTGCACACTGGCCCCGCTTGCGCCCAGGGATCGGTGTATGCTCCGTCCTGGCTTGACCAGGGAGGCGCACGCACTGCAACAGGTGCTGGGCCCAGGATTGGCCCGGCCAGGGGCGGTGTACGTGTCTAGATCCCGTCGTCCTAGATTGGAGGGGATCAGGGATCGAGGAGAAAGGAGGAGGAGGAGGAGGAGGAGGAGGAGGAGGAGGAGGAGAAGGAGGAGAAGGAGGATCGAGGGTCGAGGGCTGGGGCGGAGTAGGGTCGAAAATCGAGGTTCGAGGATCGAGGGGGAGCAAGATCGAGGTTCGAGGATCGAGGGGGAGCAGGATTTAGGGTCAAGGATCGAGGAAGAGGAGGAGGATCGAGGACCGAATCGAGGATCAAGGTTCGAGGAGGGGGAGGAGGAAGAGGATCGAGGGTCGAAGAGGAGGAGGGGAAGCAGGATCGGGGATTGAGGTTCGAGGAGGAGGGGGACAGGAGGGGGAGAAGGAGGAAGGAGGAGGAGGAGGACGACGAGGATAACGAGGACGAGCCGTGCCAGCGGTAACGTTTTTCCCTCCCCTGATATCCAGACTCCTGGCATCGCGGAAAAAAAAACACGCGATGTGCATGTGTTGCAAATATGTGGGTTGTTGGAGGACCGTTTCAGGCTTTAGATTCATTTAAAGATGATCGACCCACGAACCCGGAAAGTGATGTAGAAATGTGAAGCATGGCATCGTTTCCAAGACGTCAAATTTGAACGACGGGCAATGTTCAGTATTCCGAGTGTCGATCGTGCACGGGCTGTGTTGCATTGCGCCGTGTTGTGAGGTGTTGTGAGTTCAGCGTGTCACGCCGCGTTGAACCGTGCCGCGCCCTATTGCATTGTGGATCAAGCCGTCCTTGGCGTCAGAATCGTGGTCGGATTGTTTTGGCTCTTAAGCTCGAACTGCCTGAACGGAGCGCATAGCTCGGGCAAGTTCTAGTCGAGACGCGCGGGGCGCTCGACCAGCTCGAGCTCAAGATCCGATTCGGTTCTGAATCCGTTGCCCGAGGCATTCAGTTCCGCAACGGAGCGAACCGAGCGCTACCGCGACAGGCGTGGGAGAAACATGCGGGGCGTTCAACCAGCTCGAACTCGATTCAGTTCCGAAGTGGGACGAACCGATCAAGGGGCGAATCCGAACCGAAACCAAAAGCACCGAGACGACGACAAGGCCCCCGCTCGACACCTCCTCAAACAATGGTAAACCAGCGTGTCGCGAGAGACATCCTCAGCACATCCTGCAGAAGGAGCCTTTCGCTGGCAGGCGAGGGCCTCGCTCGAGGCAGCCTCAACAGATCCTGCAGAGCGAGCGTTTCGCCCTAGACATCATCGACACGTACTCCTGTTAGTGATCCGCCTGGGCGGCCTGGGCACGTAAAGACCCGCGTTTCGCTCGAAACCCTTTCCGCAAATCAGCATGTCCAAAATCCGCCTGGGCAACGTGGAACTAGCGTCAAAGCACATGGGTCCCTTGCGCGCCAGAGCGGGACAAGCGTGAAAACAAGTGGGCATGTTTCGCCCCAAAGCGGAATAAGCGTGAAAACACGTGGGCCTGTTTCGCGCCACAGAAGAACAAACCTGAAAACATGTGGGCGTTGGCGCCCACATGTTCCGTTTTGCCCCAGAGCGGCATAAGCGTGAAAAAACACAGGTCCGTTTTGCCCCAGAGCGGAACAAGCGTGAAATGACGTGGGTTTGTTTCGCCTTGAGGCGGCGCAAGCGTGAAAACACGTGGGTCTTTTTCGCCCCCAGAGCAGAGTAAGCGTGAAAACACGTGGGTGCTTTTCGCCCCAGAGCGCAGCAAGCCTGAAATGCCATGGGTCCTGTTCGCCCCAGAGCGGAGCAAGCGTGAAAACACGGGGGTCGTTTTCGCCCCAGGACGCAAGATAAGTGTGAAAACACGTGGGCCCCCTCCAGGAAGCTCCAAGAGGCCTCCCCAGAGCCCCAAGACGGAACGTGCCAAGTGATTACGCATCTAGTGCCGATGCGTTGAATGTGCTTTGTTTCTGCGACTTCCCGCGCACCCGGGAGGGGGAGACCGCCCCTGGGTGGCCAGGACGCGTGACAGCACATGGGTCCCTCTCGACCCAGAGCGCAGCAAGCGTGAAGTCACATGGGTTTCTTTCGCTCCAGAGCGCAGTCAACGTGAAAACACGTGGGCCCGTTTCGCCACAGAGCGGAACAAGCGTGAAAACACGTGGGCCCCTTTCGCCCCAGAGAGCAGCAAGCGTGAAAACACGTGGGCCTTTTCGCCCCACAGCGGAGCAAGCGTGAGGGAGTGTTTTCACGCATGCTCCGCCCTGAGGCGAATGGGAACCACGTGATGTCCGCGCCCTGAGGTGAAAGGAACCCATGTGCGTTCACCCTTGTTCCGCCCTGAAGCGAAAAAGATTGGGGCGAAGGGGACGGCCTCTCCACTTCTCCAAATCGAACGTTTCGCTCGAGACATCCTCAACAAGTTCTGCAAAACAAGCGTTTCGCTCGAGACATCCACAACAAACGAACATTTGTACTTTACCATGTACTTGATCGATCGGAATTTAAAACACCAGCACTTCGCCTGGGAGATTCTCAAACTTTTATTTGCCGGCCCACCTCGACTTCGTTATTTATCCGAGAAAAATCCACCGGTCCACCCCCAACATGGCACCGGGAACAAGTTACCACACTAAAAGAGAACCTTGGGCCCAAGCCATGTCTGGGAACATGATCGACCCACAAACCCGGAAAGGAATATAGAAATGTAAGGCATGGCCACGTTTTCGAAACACCTGATTGGGCGACGGGCAATTGTAATGTTGAGTGTATCGATCTTGATGTACCGTGCCAAGGACTG